TAGATGACTTCGATTTTAACCGCCAAGACCGCACGACTATGCGTGGGGGTGGTTGTCTTCTTTATCTTAAATCCTACCTAAAGCACTCTCCCTATTACTTGGATGTTTCCTCATTCACGGGAAACTTCTGCTTTGCATCTGTTATTCTCTCGCCGCAAAGAAAGGCAATTATTGGCTGTATCTACAATCCCCCAAATTCTTTAGCCAGTGATGATTCACAACTCTGTGAAATCTTTAAATTAATTTCGGAAGCTGCTTTCGATGTTAAAATTGACTGTGTTTCCAATAGCTGCCCACCCAGATTCCAGCCCTTTCAAGATATTGTCAATTTTTCTAATTGGTCCCAACTGGTGCGCTCTCTAACAAGAGATAATCACATTTTAGATCTAATCTTTACCAATGACATTGCTCCTCTTTCTGTTGCTTTAAAAAAGGACCTCTTTGACAGTGACCACGTATTAATTCATTGTTGCTTACCGCTTGCCTTTTCAAAAAAGACAAGCGCCGTTCGGACTTACATGAACTACGACTGCATAGATAGCGACTTAATAAATAACTATATGTGATCCTTGGATTGGTGTGGCTTTCTCACTTGTAGCGATGTAACCATTCTTCGTGATGTCATGTCCAATGTTTCCAAGGACATTCTAGAGTTTGTGCCGCGTAGATATCCGAAGCCTAATTCTTCAGATTCCCTTGTTCCTCATTTTCTTCAGAACAGATTAAAAATGTTGAGGCGACAACTGCGTGACCCATCCACTAGTTCCTTACCAGTTCATCTTAGAATCACAGAGATATTTGAGATGGCCTCAAGGATGCGCCAAGCGCGCGACAGGCAGAGAGAATCAATTGCTCTCAGTGGTTCGAACCCTGGCAAATCCGTCGCTAACATCTTCCGTCATCGGTCCTCCTCTAGGCGTGGTCGTGAACTTCCACCCATGCTAAATGATAACAAAGTCTTCCTCACCGATGACACTGACAAGGCGGAGTTGTTTAGTGCTTTCTTTGCAAAACACCTTGCTACCGAGTCCGATCCGGTCCCTTTCTTTCGATCACT